CTCGGCATCCTTCTCTTTCGTGCACTCACGCATCCTCAGGCTGAATGTCTCGACCTCGCACAGCTCCAGGGGCTCTGGCTTGGTTGGGTTCTTTTTCAGGACCGCGATCATGGCTGAGTTCAGCGAGTTTCCGAACAGCAGGTCCTGGCCATGCCACATGTTTCCTTTTTATTATTCATGTTAAAAACAATGATTTGAGAGCGACGAACTACCGAACCGGAACAGCCAACCATCCAACAAATGGGCAAGTCCATTTTTGCAGGCGCCTTTCTTTCAGCCTATTAGACCCAAAAATGCACAAATAAAGGGCGCTTGTTAAAATGATTGTGGTCACTTGACCTCTCTTGGATGCGCCAATCAGTCTATCAGTTAGCAACAGACGGTCAGTCAAGTGCCCGCAATTGAAGTTGTTTCTTGAAATGCCCGAAAACTTTGGCAAAGAACGTTTCAGCCATTAAATTAACACACATGACTTGTCTTGGTAGCTAATTATTAGTTCAGTTCGAGGGCTCTGGCAGGAGTTAAAAGACAGTCCAAAGAAGCACTCCCGGGTTGCCTCTTAGGGACATTCAAACGTGTGCAGCCATCTTCGAATCGCAGGGCTAGATGAAGGGGGGAAGCTGCAATAATTGGCCTGGTGCCACCGCGATCTCGGAATAATCGGGGATATAGACGTGGATGAGGACCAGTCTGAACAGGCCACCCACAAATGTTTGTGTAAAAACCAGCAAAGCCTTGCGGGGACACAGTCATCTGAGAAGGGCCAGGGAAGCTGAACACCAGACCATCATCAATGTAAGTTGGCCCGGGCTACCAAAATCTAAGCTCAGCATTCAGAAAGCAAAAGTTAATCAGTCAACTGCCATGTTCATCAAACAAATGCCTGTCATTGCGCAGCCAGTCAGTCAATCAGTCAGGAAGCCAGCCCTTGATGAATGGCTCGAGCCAGATTGAAAAAAGGCCAAGCGAATCGGTGTCTGAGATAAAATCAATCAGGCAGTCTTACTGAGCAAGCTACCAAGCCAGTCAGCCAGTCAACAACTCCCAAGCGCGCCAAATATAATTTAGACCCCTTAATATACTTGACCTGTGACATTTGCCTCAGCCTCTATTTTGGGCAATCAGCCAAAAATGAGCCAGTCTTATCGGTTTCAGGCAGTCCTCCATCAGCTTCAGCGCTTTGATGGAGGAAACCTTCAGACCAGCTTGCCACTGGCTCGCCACAACCCCATCGGCATCTGGCTTAGCAGTGACTGTCTGCCTGTAGATCTCCACGTTGGCCAGATGCTGCTTGACAAGCTGCAAGTCTTCCAAGCGAAACCTTGCCGAGCAAGTTCCACCTCCAGGAAGAAGTCCACAGCCTGCCGGCGGAACTTGATGAAGTCCACGGCTGAAGCAGCAGTTGGCGAGCCCTGGAGGTAGCTCTTTCCAACCTCATACCAGGAGCGTTCAAGCAACACTTATTGTAAAACAAAAAACGCAAACAGCTGAGCAACGACTTCAAACACAAAAAACAAGCCAAGGTACCGCGTCGCAGCTCAGTTTGCCAGTCGACAATGCATCTTCGAAAAAGCCCAACACCCAGCGCCGCTGTTCGACGTTGCTTGTTTTCTCTATGATGACACGGAGCTTGAGAAGGCTATTGAGCGGCGACTCCAGTCCGAATTGGCGCTCCAACGACTCGAGCTTGGCGTTGCAGTAGTTGTCTGTCAACAGTTTCTCGTAAACCCTTTGACAGTCTGCAACGAAGTTGTCCGCGCCAGTTTCGATCTTGGTGGAGCGAGCCTCGGTGTGCTTTGAGCCATCTTTGAACAGCATTTGCAAGCGCTTTGAAGTCAACGCCTCGCCAAGCTCCTGCTCCTTCCTCTCTTTGAACGCCATGATCTCGTGCGCCCACTGCCGGGCTGACCTCTTGATAGTGTCGTGGCTTTGGACAATCCTTGCACGCGTGACCAAAAATAGACTTAGATATTAATTAGCTATGATTGAATCATATTATTATTCAGTTGCCAAGGCGTCCGTCAGCCTAAGGCCTAGCCAGACTTGGCACATTCAAACCGCACATGTTGAATCTCAGACCCAGTCCTCTGCCTCTGGTCGTATGCCTCCCAATAGATTGCATCCTCGTTGCCCAGGACACTGAACATCATCGGCGTGCTCAGCAAGCAGGAACGCCATGATCGCAGCTCTTCCTCACCGGCGCCTGCTGTGATGCGGTCTGCCAGCGCAAACACAGTGCTGTGAGTCAGCTCTTCCGGCGTCACTTGTTTCCAAGATCCGCGCAAAGCAAGCAAGTCCGAGTCAGCTGCAGGGGCTGCAACGAGAATGAGGTCTTTGAAGTGGCGCGGCCCCTTGCCAAAGACAGTCTGTGCCCACTCACGCACCCTTGCGTAGCTCAGCGGCACCCTCGGTGTCGAGTTGCTGGTCAGGTCAAGCCAGAACAAATTGCAAGCTGCCCGGTACACTCCTGTCCGAGCCAATGCAATCTTCGCAGCCTCCGCCTCAAAGACAGCCTGCCACACGGCGTCGCTCTTAGTTCAAAAACTTACAATGTGCTCCGGCAGCATCGCATCTATAATAATTGCAGTGAGAATGGTTTGAGTTGCAAATTTGGTTTCAGTCAAGCCAACACTGACAGACGCAATTGAAAGTAAGCAGCTAGCCTGCCTGAACGCCGCACTCTTTGGTTTCATCATCCGTGATCAGCAGCGGCATCGCCTCGTTGATCCGCTGAAAAACAGGGTGGCCTTGAATGACAGACATTGAGTCCATCAGCTTCGTGTAGTAGTCCGTGTTGTTCTGGAGCACGTCCGCTGACGGGGCGGCAAGCGACGGCGGGGCGGCTGCACCTTTCCCGCCTGCGGACCGGGCAGCCTGCTGCATCAGCCTTTGCCTTCTTCAGCTCTTGCGTGCGGGTGGCGACATGCTGCCTGTGAGCTTCTTTGGCCTCCTGCTCAGAGCAGCCCTGGTTCAGCCTTTCCGCCTTCACCGCATCCGCCTCCTTTTGAACAGAGCTTTCTTCTGCCCGGTTCAGGCGCCACTTGCTTGCCATGGCCCATGCAATGCGATGACCCAATCTCACTGTAAGGTTCAGCTGGCTGTCAGTTTCCGACTTGCATTGTCTGTCGTTGACCCACATTGAAAATTGCGTGATTCAACGCTTGTGAGAATGCCAACAGTCAGTAGACGACAACGACATTTCCTTGAACCGATCATGCCAAGGTCATCAAATAACAAAAGCGCAGTGATGTCTTGTGAGACAAGAATGCAGCCCTTAAATGTGTGTCCTGCTGTGTCAAAACAACCGTCAACCATCGTCGGCCCCTTAAATTAAAGCCCTCAGTGTCAGCCCAGCCTCCGCGTCGCCGTGATCATCTGAATCACCCCCGCCGCCGCGGCAGAGGCAATGGCTTCCTTCGGCCTCCAGCTTTTCAACTGAAAGTCAGTGATCGATATTAAGATGGAGGTGCCAAAAGATTGAAAAATAAAAAATAATAACGATTTGAGGGGGCGCCGTGAAAAGTCAAATAGTTGGCCGGCGGTTTAGGGTTTAGGGTTTAGGTTTCATTGAATTACCAATCAACCTTGCAAACTATCACTGTGCGACGGCTGGCTGAGAAGGACCCCCCCCGCTGGGGGGTCCCTCTCGACAGGTGCTCCCGGGAGCGCCTGATGAGAGGGACCCCCCCCCCGCTGGCACCGCTCAAGCGGCTCAGCGGGGGGGGGGTCCCTTAGAATCAGCGCTTGCAGCGGGGGGGGGTACCTCTCATCAGGCGCTCCCGGAAGCACCTGTCCAGAGAGACCCCTAGCGGGGGGGGTCCCTCTCGACAGGCTCTCCTCCTGGGAGCACCTGCCGAGAGACCATTGACGTACAACGGTTGCGGGCGTTTACTAGCATAACTTGCATTTTGGGTTGGTTGACGTATAACGGTTGCGGTTGCTGACGTATAACGGTTGCTGACGTAGTTGCGGAGCCGGCGGATTGATTGATTAAACAGAAACAGACCTGGGTTTAGGGTTTAGGGTTTAGGGTTTAGGGTTGACAAGGTTTAGGGTGACCCTGGCACCTGCCCTGCGCCTGCGGTCATGCTGCAAAGCGACTCTGAGGAGGACGAGCAGCAGTGCAGGGCAAGCCTGCAAAGGCCGCTCGTCGCTGCAAAGTTAGCTGAATCATCACGGCATCAAACTTGCTGAATCATCACAGCAAACTTGCAGCTAAGTCGCCGCAGAAACTGTCTGAAAGACTCCTGCGTCATCGCCACGGATTCCGCCAGTGAAGCCGGACCTGCCGCCGCAGCCGCAGCTGAGGCTGCCATGCCGCCGCTGCCACCGCCGTCGCTGATGACCTCAACGTCAACCTCGTCATCGCCAGCCCTTAGGAACGACGAGCCCAACAAAACGACATTGACTGAGACATGACAATGACGGGCAACAACATTTTGGCTGAGGCTTGGCTTTCTGCAAACAAAGCCACTGAGCAGCAGCAGCGCCCTTCTTCTGCTTGCGGCGCAGCTTGCGAGCCCTGTTCGCTGCCTTCTTTGTTTCCTCCGACGCCATCTCCCGCTCCTTGCGCTTTTTGCGCTCAAATGCCGCCGCCGTGGAGGGCTCGATGGCCTCCGTCAGGTTCAACGTGCCGATCACCTCAATGAGGCCCGGCGTGCTGTCGCGCATGAGCATCTCGAAGGCCGCCTGAAGATTGCCACCAAAAGACCTCCATGCCCGCGAGCTCAGATTGGGCAGAGGCGACCCCACTGAAGGCGGCACCGGGTGGGCAAGCCGCCCCTCCAGCATCTCGTACCTGGGCTCGCAAGCTGCAAAAAAAACGATAGGTGATATGTATACACACGCACGCACACATGTCTTGATGAGTCTTGCTCTGATGTTTTGTGAATTGATCTAACCAGCTCAACTCAATGAACATGGCAAATTTCAGCCAAAGAGCAAGGTGCAGCCAAGCCCATAGACATCCACTTTGGCCGTGACCGGCTCATCTCCAGCCCAGACCTCTGACGGGAAGTACTCTGGCGTCCCAGCCACGTCAGGTGGTGGCACCAGCCTGGTTGCCACGCCAAAGTCCCCCAGTTTTGCCGTTTGGCCAGACAGGAAAATGTTCCCGGGTTTCACGTCCCTTGCGCCAGGCCAAGCTCCTGGTGCATGTAGATGAGGCCGCTGGCGATCTGCCGAGTCACTCGGGCCGCCGCATTCTCGTCCATGGGAATCTGGCTGTTGAGATCGCAGCTCATCAGCTCCATCAGCAGGAAAGCAATGCCTCCTCAGTTCAAAGCATGCAAAACCAAACTGCCAGGCTCTGAACAAACCGTAACCACTGACTAATTTTGACACGCCAAGCCGCCGCAAACGTGCCAGAGTCGAAGATGGGCACCAAGCGCGGGTGCCTGAAGGAGTACATGATGCGCCGCTCCTGGGCGTGGACGGACACTTAACTTCAATCAGCGACTTGTGTTGCCATCAGTCTCAGAGGTTGGTGCATATTATTTTCTGTCAAGCCGCTTGTTCAAAGAACTCATCCGTGACAATGACGCCATCATCATCGCCCTCCGCCTCCTGCAGCGCAAGCTTCAGAGCTTGAAAGGACCTTAGTAGACGCCAATCATACTCAATCAGGAATCAGTTCAATAACAAACTCGAGCAACTGAATGCATCCAAAAATCAAGTCCGACTTCATCTGGACCTTGAAGGCAGCACCCATGCCGCCCTTGGCCAACAATTTGCAGCTCTTGAAGCGCCCAGTCTCAAGGACTTTCTGCACCCACTCGTCATCATGATCATGATCAGCGGCGGCCATCAAGCAAAGGCGCCGTGCCGGCTGTCACTCTAAAATCAGTGTCATCCTTCAATGTTTGAATTCTTGCATTGGCTGCTCATCATCTAGGCTCACTCATTGCGTTGCTTGGTCAGACACTTGTCACGGTCAGTGCAGTCAATGCCAAGCCGCCTTGATCCACTCAGATGCATGACAAACAAAAGGGTCAGAGAGACTGAGACATCGCGTGGCAACTCAGTGGCCCGACAAGGCCCGGCCAAGCGGCCGGGCTTCGTCGTGGCCGCGCAATGTTGGGCAAGCTAAGAAGGCTCAAAGCATTTGTTCCCTGGCGGACTCTCCATTAGCAGGCCCACTTGGCCGTCGCCAGCCGTCACTCAGTGCTCAGTCAGCCTGTGCGAAACATCAAAATTTGACATGTTCATGCAGTGCTGCTCAGTGCCTGGCTCAGACTGACTGCCCAGTCAGCGGGTGAGGACCTCCTGCAGATGAGAAGCAATGAAAAGGACTTGAGTCTCAAAAAGGCCAATCAACAATTCAAAAGCAATGCCAAACCCGCTCCTGCTGGCGAGCAGGGTTGCGGCCAGTCCTGCACGGCAATTCATTCGCGCACTCAAGCCATGCCGCAGGAACCCCGATCAAGCTCGCACACGTCAATTCTGAGCTCCTTTTTTCAACAATAGCTCCACTGCCACGAGTTAATACTGCCAGCCTTGGCCTTGCATTGCCGTCATCAAAAAAGGCCAATGACGAGTTTCTTGGATGTCAACACACTGACTGACACAACCAGGAAAGGCCAGGCTGTCTCACTACGACGACGTCCACGACAGGCAGCCGCACGATCGCAGTCCTCCCGCCGACTACAGGCATTTGAGGCGGCTGAGGCTGAGCAGGAAATTGAATGAACCTTGCCACAGTTCCCCGCGGGACCGGCATCTGCTGACGCCCAACGCGAGGGTGAGTCGCAGCTGCCGCGACTGTTGGGGGAGATCTTGATCGCGGGTCAACCTCCGCCGGAAAGTCACGACGAGGCAGCGCAGTGGCAGTGCCAGGCGCAGCAGCAGCACCAGCGGCGCCGTGTCCACAAAGGCGAAGCTCATCAGGAGTAGCCCCAGCAGTGCCACCAGTGCTCGCCTGACACTGAGTTGATGACAGTCAGCCACAGTCACAGTTTCATCACAGTAAAACAGTTTCAAGATGAGCTGCTCCACCGCCGCAGCCGGGCTCAGGCCCGGCGTCTTGGCGGCAATGCCCTGGTTGCCGCCGAACATCAAATTCGACAAGTCGTTTCAGGTAACAAACTTAAGACTAACCATCAAAATTTGACCAACAAAATTACGCAGAGCGTCAGTGCCACCGTTGAAGCTGGCAATCGTCGTCGGCGTGTGCATCCGCGACGAAGAGGGCGGCGGCGTTGCCGACACCACCGGAGAAGGTGGCACTGGCCCTGCCATCACTGGCCCAGCCGGCGCAGGCGCCGGCGCGGGCGCGGACCCTGCCTGATTCGACGCAACCATGGTTGCGACAGATAACGAAGACAAAACTTGCAAGGGGCACGGCTAAAATCTGAAATGCAACCTTTGAACTTGCCAAGGCGCCGCTGGGCCAATCCTTCGCGCCCACCACGTCACCGTCGGCACAGCTTCGAAGACATACCCGCTCACGTCAACGTAGCGGGTTGCCATCTCCGTCATCTCCTGCCCGCCAAGGCAGACGCCACCCTCATTGTCCACCCGGAGAAACGGCGGGGGCGGCAAGTATGGCGGCGCCGCCATCATGCCAGGCAGACCTGCAGCCGATCGCGACAAATGTCAAGCAGCAAAATGGGATAACGACAACGTTTCAACACAGACAGCAACAAACAAAAAGCAGCCTTTGGGAAAATAGTGGCCATAACTTACTTGCTCTTCTTACTCCTGCCTCCCACGCAGCTGCTGCCAGCCTGGGCCGCCGCCGTCGTGCCGCCAGACACCGCCGTCACCAAGTTGTCAGCCATGGCTAGGAAGTTGCCAACTGACCAATCTCAGCCAGCTGAGCCGAAGTGCTATTGGCAACCGATGTCAATTCACCGACGCTCCAACTTGCAAAGCGACCCCCACACACTCAATGGCAGCAGGTCCTCCATTGCGACGTCCACGAGCAGGCGGCCATGCCATGGCACACTGACTAAGACGAGGCCTACCCAGGCCAACAATCATTGACAATGACAGCAACAACGAGCGATTGCCCTGCCAATGGTTGAGGCGTGTTTCTTATTATGCAAGACAGCAACGCTTGGGGCTAATAAAGGCTGAGGCGGGCAGCCACTGACAGTGCCAAGCCATGCTTGAAAAAAAACTGAGATGATGTTGAGCGAAAGCCCGGGGGGGCCCGGCAACATGCTGCTGGGCCTGACCGGTCTTGCGCTGACTATGAACCCTGGCAGCTTCAGACTTAGACAGTGTCTTTCCAGCAAAATAACTGAAACAGTTAAGTTGAGACGGAGCGAAAGCCCGAAGAGGCCCGGCAATAAGCTGCTGGGCCTGATCATCGGCCATACACTCACTATGAAGCTGTAGTCATCTGGGCTAAAGCCCGAAGAGGCCCAGCCACACAGGCTATGGGCCTGATCGGTCCCGCGCCCTGACAACTATTATTTTAATATGGCAAAACCAGAACGTGTTTTGGATGAAGAAAGCCGGAAGAGGCCCGTCATACGCTGCCGGGCCTGATCGGCCTCACTATGTCATGAATCAACTTCAAACTTGGGCGTCCATCATCGAATGAAACGGTAAAAAAACTGAGCGAGACCAAAGAGGCCCGGCATATGTTGCTGGGCCTGATCTGGTCTGTTCAGTCTAGTCAGTTGGCAAGACAGAAAATTTAACTCAAGTAACTGCAGGTTCGCAGACCGAAGGCTAAGAGACATGCCATTTCGCGTGAGAGGCTCGTTTTCGGTGTGGCAGGCTTGTCAGATCTCATGAGTGAGGTAGCTGCTAAATCAGGCTCGCGCCTGTCCCCGGTCAGCAAAGCTTAAGCCCCTGAGCCAATGATGCGACACCAGTTCAACGTCCTACAAAAGTGAGATCTTGAATTTAATTTATGTGGAATGACTGTCACAACGTTGCGCTGGGTGTCCACTGACGCCCCTGTCAAAGTTTAAGACACCCCGCTCAAGCCAGCTTTGCCAGCTTGACGCTCTTGGATTTGTCTAGACGTGAAACCTGTTCTAAGAAATCTGACTTGGAGTGCCAGTCTGGCTTGCTTTCACACTCAGCGGTTGTCGCTAAGCAAAACGTGACTTGATCCGTATGCGTCCTGCAAATGGTCCACTTACTGCCGCGCTGAGCCCGAGCTTGCTTCACAATGTTGAAGATCTCTACATGCCGATTCTTGAAGTCTTCAGTGATGTACACCTTGCAAGGTCTCCTGATGACTGGTTTGTTGTCAAGAGACGGCAAGGTGACGTCCCGTGGGACGCTGTGCACCGAACCCTCAAGCTTCAATACCAACCACGTAGAAAGGTGTATACGGACGATGCCGTTATAGCCGAACCCGTGTAAACGTTGTAAGGAAGAAGGAATGATAGTTACACCAGTAGTCCTGACAATGCAGAGCAAGCAGTTGTTTTGCTCTTATCGCCCGTCACGAATGTTCGCAGTCACACATCAGATCTTGAACCTCAATTGTGTCTTGAGCCAAATGGCGATCAATGGAACTTGGGAAGCAACACCAACAAGGACCTCAGAACAGCTACCCAATTTCGGCACGGGGCCTAGAGGGGTTTTAACATCCCCCATTTGGGTCGCATTGTTCATCATGCGGTCCAAACACCACAAAACGTTCCACTGGCCACGGCTTCAACTACGAAATCGTGTCGTGCATTCTTTTACTTGCTATCACTACACCGTGCATTCGCTGTGAAACATGCCGGGTTCGATTGTACGAAAGGTGAAACATTCATCCTCCAATCGAAGCACACATCCATATGCAGGTGTATATAATACACTGTGGCCACTTCACTTGACCGCCAGTGAACATTCCAGCTGCCGCATTTGCGCATCGCGCAGCTGTCATCCATAAATGGGTTGGCCACAAAAGTCCACCAGACGCGCCCGCTTGTGATCGGTCTGCATATCTCCGGCAAAGAAACATCGGTGAGTAATCAATGCAAATCATAGCCATTCCAGATACCATGGACAATGCATAAATAATGAAAAGATATCATCTATAAGGTAATAATTCCATCCATGAATATCCAGAGCGTCATAGTCGTCGGAATATGTAACCATGTACACATCCATTCATCTTGGACACATGAATATAAATCATGACATAAGTCGTTCCACCGAAACAGTGTCGATGTGACGCAAGTAACAGATGGGGACTGGCCCACATCGTACCGCAATCATCATCTTCACGAAGCATACCTGTCCCCAATGGACAGCCTATGGGTACGTCGGCGGAACTCCTCGTCCAAGTTCTTCTGGGCTTCTCGTGCCCGGACACACTTCTTGTTGTAGTCCTCTGGCAACCAGTGCCCTTTCCGAAGGCACCAATCCAGCAGGGGTGTGTCGCATTTGTTCGGGTCGATGGCCGAGATGATGGCGCTCACGTTGACCGTGTAACCATTCTTGCCAAGGTTTAGGCCATCCCTCACG